TATTCTATTCTATTCTATTCTATTCTATTCTATTCTATTCTATTCTATTCTGTTCTGTTCTGTTCTGTTCTGTTCTGTTCTTCTGCTAACTCCCCAGCTCTTCTCCATCCTCAGATGAAGAAAATCTGCACAGTCCAGTCAAAATAAACCTCATTCAAACTTTTACCTTTTATCTGAAATTCTTGGTAAAGCTGAAAATAAATGCTGTGAAGCTGTAAACCAAAATGGCGGTTGGGCTTATTCAAATTTTTGAATAAAAAAACATATTAAATTTTAGATAGTATAGATGATTATAAATAAATTGAGTCTTCAATGTACACAATATAGGCTTTATTGATAATAAGGCTAATAAATTCAGGAAATATAGCAGACTGCGGAAAGAAACCCAAACATACACAATGGAAAAATATGCAGGATCTAAATAGATACAGAAAATACACATAAGGCTGCACAGAAATCTGTTGGAGCCAGCCTCCCCACCATCACAGACATCTACACCTACAGATGCAGGAAGAGGGCCACCTGAATCATGAAGGACCCCACTCACCCAGCACACACACTTTTTGCCCCACTCCCCTCAGGCAGGAGGTTGAGGAGCATTAAGTGTAGAACCAATAGACTGAGGAACAGCTTCTACCCTGATGCTGTTAGACTCATGAATCTCTAACCAGGATAATCATTGATAAAAAAAAACACATCATGTTGCTGCTGATTTGTTTCATGGTGCTGTGTTCATTCGTGCTCATCTGCTCACACAGACTCATGTTCATGCTGCTGTTCAACATATTGTTTTTGTACTACTAGTGCTTAGCGTATTTTGAGTTAACGTTTTTCTTCATTCATATCTTAGATCTTACTGTTTTTCTTTTACATATACTTTTGTTGGATGTAACTGGGACCCTGTGTACACAATTTCCTTCCACCTCATGTACCACATGTGATGTAAATGACAATAAAAACCTTGAATCCTTGAAAAGAAACTAGGAGTTTAACAGTGTGATGGGTTCAGGGCAGGAAGGATTTCCTAAACTGGTCAGTACGGCTGTAAAGATTATCAGTACTCCTGATGTGGTTCACAGTCTCTGTACCAGGAGCATGAACCATCACACATCTTGATGTACATATAATTTTTTGTCTTGCACAGTATCTCCAGTCATCCAATCAACCCAAAGGCAATCTGCTGGGCTCCTGATAATGCAGGGGATGGAGAATCTGGTGTTCATCTGGGAGGTTAAAAGACAAGTCAAGTCAAAATTATTTATATAGCACATTTAAAACAGAAACTGTTAGTGCTAAACAAAAAGATTGCAGAATTTGATAAGATAAAACAGATTTAAACCTCAGTGTCTTTCACTTTTCACAATTATAACTTCAGATATTCAATACAGTTTAAGAGTGAATCTTTCCTATACCTAGCAGCCACAGCCGGTTGTATAACACTGAATCAGTTTTTGTGTTTGGGCGATACTCAAGTCATCATACAGCTCAATGAAGTAACACGATGTGATTTGCACAGTCTCATCATCTTCCAGCTTGCCTACAGACATTTAAAGTGCAGAATCAGGAATGAGTTGATGGAATAATTGATGTGAACAATTCATCAATATTGGCACATTTTACCCAAAATTTCTACCTGTGATTAGATACAGTTTGTCTCCAGTGTCCAGAGTGACTCCACATGTTGCAGAGGAGGAAGAAGTGTAGACAGCATCAATATTCAAACCAGGGCCTTTGTACACCTGAACCAAAAAAAAAATTGTATTCAAGTTAAAGTTAACCAATAGAATAACAATGATACGTCAATCTGTCAACCCCCCCCCCCCCCCCCCCCCGTGATATAAACGGTTAATGTCCGTAGTTTTCAATATGTGTGTTTTTCTGGATTGGAATTTAACGTGGCAACTCAATTTTTGATTTGAACATTTCCTATAACTAGATGCAGCTATTCACCAAAATGGGAGTATGTCACTCAGTTATTTTTCAAGTTATTCAACTTAAAATGTTTACATACAAATGCATATATGATGGCACTGGCAGCCATTTTGAATTTGGACCTAGCAACCCAATTTGTGAAAGGAACATTTCTTATGCTTATATGTACCCATTTGCCAAAATGGAACTTTTTACTTAACTTATCACTTGTTATATTTCACAATTATATAATTTCAAACATGCACATATGGACAAGTGGAGGGTATTTCCAATTACACTATTTGCTACAACAGGGCCAAAATACACTTTGTCCAATACCTTAGTCACTTGTATGTCATATTTGATGCTCTTGAATGGATTTCTCAAGGGGCTATTCCCAGTGTCAACCACTTGCTTTCCAGTAACTTTTGCACTGAAAACTACAAAAACAAACAAACAAAAAACATTAACACAGACCACATGGTGTTGAGAGCTGAAACATTCATTCAACATGTTCATTCATCAACATTAATTAGGAAACATGTTTCCAAAGTATAAATTTCAAAGGCTTGCATGTGCTAGGAAGATTGAAGTGGCAAGAGTTTACAACAACTGACTGAAAGGACCAGTGACAATTTTAACCTATTTTGGAGGTGCTCAAGTACCTCTAAAATTTTACTCCACCCCCCTGAAAAATAAAGTAAAAATTATATATATATTTTTTTTTTGGGGGTGGGGGGGGGTGTCTGGGTTTGGGTTTTGGGCTCTGTTATTCTGTTATTGCATTTATCGTTCAATGCAACAAAATAAACACATTTAAAATGTAACATGTTATTGTAATTTTTGATTTATTTACATAATGACTTAATCGCTGGATGTCTGGCCCCTGAGCTGCTGGCTTTCAGCAACTGTGGCCCCCTGAGCAGTTAAGTTGAACAACCCTCTTTTAGAGGGTACAATACATTTTATTCCATTTCCAAAACCTAAACTGAGTATGGAAAAATGTAAAAGATGGATGCAGCCAACCTCATGAAGAGCTGAATAAAACCGTGATAAACAAGACGTACCACATATTTATTTGTACGAAGGTAACTGCAGGTATGCTTAATGGTTAAATTAAAAAGTTAATGCTTAAAGCTAGTTGTGCTTTGCTTTGTACAGATACAACTGCAACTTCTGGTTGCATATGTTTAGTCTTTATTTGTTATGATCAGTTAATACTGAACTGATTTTGTACTAAGCATTTATTATTTTTCCTCATTCGCTCTCGAGTAAGACGGATGCTTTTTCTTCCCTTCGGCCATGGCAAAGCTGCCGACCTTATCTGAAGGATCAGTTCATGCTTGGAGCTTTCAGACTCAGCTGATATACAAGCTCAACCATAAGATGGAAGCGATTTATGAGAACCGTAGGCCACTTGCTGCTTTGGAACTCGCCAGCAATGTTGGGATCGACCTTGGAGGAAGCTAATACGCACAAACCAGTGCAAAGCCCACAAATCTGGACATTTTGGATATCGACAGGACCAGCAGAACTCAAGGCTGACAAGAAGTAACGCTCTACATGCACAAAAAAACAACTGTGGCTTATCTGAATCTAGACTTCCCCGTTCGGCTTTGAAGCAGGCCAAATTATCAAATTTCTCCTGGGATGTGTGTAAACTCATAAAGCTCTGCTTTTGATGCCAATTGCCACCATGTTGTTCAAGCCAAGAGCCATTGTTGGCACTGGGGGCTAAGCACCCCTAAAAGGGCAGCTTCTAGAAACACCTCTGGCAAGGACTGCTGATAGTTTTATATTTCCTGGTAAAGATTTATTTTTGCATTTATTTGAAGAATAACCTTTTGTGTTATGTAAAACTTAACATTAGAGTTCTACAATTGCTGTGGATGAGTGGTTAGAGCAGTTGTTCTCCAATGCAAGAGTTGGGGGTTCGAATCCACCAGCAGTCACATGCCGAAGTGTCCCTGGGTAAGACACTGAACCCCTCATTGCCTCTGATGTGTGTCCCATCGGTGTATGAATGTGATCTAAAGCACTGATTAGTCTCTTTAGAATGTTTTTTTCAGTTCGTTTTGTAGAGATCTAGTAGAGTGCTGTGTGAATGGGTAAATGAGGCACAGATTGTAGTGTAAATCGCTTTGAGTATCTCGATAAGATAGAAAGGCGCTATATGAGTACAATCCATTCCATTCACAATTGCACCGCTCGAGGTGGCTGCATATTGGAGTAGCTGTTGCATAAATTCTGGGATACTGCTTTTGAAAACTTTTTTCTCTTTCTTCTGGATGTGCATGGCTTTGTTTGGATGATTACTTCCTCCGGTATCAGATTCTGTGAAGCTGGAAGGATTTTTACTGAAAATCTTTTACTTTTGGACATATGTTATGATGCATAGCCATACCAACAAGGTGGGTTTTACAACTGGGAGCAGCTGAGTAACATCTAAAACTCAAATATTACCTCAATACAGCCCTAAATCTCAAATAAGTTGTAAAGGAGGCGCCATTGATGCATCTCTGTCTACCTAGCGGAGATGCTTTCTGAGATCCTGGAGCTGGCAGGAAACTTCGCTCATGACAAGAAGACCTGGCTCATCCACCAACACCTGCAGCTGGCTGTCTGCAGTGATGAGGAGCTCAACAAGCTGCTGAGAGAAGTGGCCACCACTCAGGGAGAAGTTCCGCCCAACATTCAGGTGGTGCTGCTGCCCAGGAGGACCGAGAGGCCTGATGGGTCCAGGTGGACGGATCGGCATCTGCAGCCAGTTTCTTCAGATCTGCTGTGAGACGGACTGCTGCAGATCCTTCCTGCCCACAGCCATAAGCATATATAACAACTTTATGAAGCCATGAGGATGAGCTACAACAACATATAATTTCCCTTTGGGATTAATAATGTATTTTGAATTGAATTGAACTGAATTGAATTTGACACTGTTTACTGCTGAAACACTGTCATTTTAATTTAAAAGTTAGATTCCAGCTCAAATTAAGTATCCCGGGAGAAAATGCTGAGTTGTCAAAGCTGCAACAGTAATCAACTCATCAATGTTTCCTAAATGACATTCAGTTCAAAACAGGATAATTGTGTGTAGAACTAAAATGTACATTTTCTGCATGTGAAAATGCATTAAAAATTAAAGTAAATCTGTTAAACAAGGCTGTACAATATATTAAAGTGAAGATTAGAGCAGCTGTTGTGAGTCTCTGCACACTTAATTTATTTCTTGCTTAAGAGGGGTGGATGGAATTTGGTTTTCCTGTTAGCTATGTTTGCACAACTTGCAATGCTGCATTTATTTTTAAAGTCAGGTTTAACAAAACCTTTGTCAAAGAGGTCAAATATTCCACTTTAGTGAGATAACACATTTTGCATTTACTGAAAAAACTCTCCATCCATATTTTACCTGCTTCTTTCTTTTTGGGTTACATGGGTCACTATGACCATGTCCAGCCATCACTGTGCGAGAGGCGGGGGGGACAGGTTGCAAGTCCTTCACAGGGACACATAGAGACAAACAAGACAAACAGCCATTCACTCTCTCACACACAGACAATTTAACGTTACCAATCAGCCTAACATGCACGTTTTTGGTCTGTGGGAGGAAACCGGAGTACCTGGAGAAAACCCACGCATGCACGGAGAGAACATGCAAACTCCACCCAGAAAGGATCCCGGACTGGGATTTGAACCTGGGTAACCTGCTCGCTGGGAGGCAGCAGCTCTACCAGTTGCACCACCATGCTGCCCCTGAAAAAACTACTAATGCCAAAATCCTCCAGTTTACTCAGAGGTTCTGCTCCACTTTAGCTTTGACCTCCTCATATCTGGACGTTCAAATTTTGATGAAACATCTGTACATAAAAACTCTTTTCACTTCTGACTCTAGCAAGAAAAGCAAATATTTAAGCAGACAATTTTCATGTTTCAGAACTCCAGATATTATGGCTCCAACTAAATCTGAGCATTTTAGGTAATTCTAGAAATTCTGCCAAGGATGCCCTACAAGATCATTTAAGTCCACCCAGCACCTGTTTGAAAAGGCATCTTTACTTGTTTACACTTGACGTGTATCAAGACAAAGCATAGAAAGATGTAAATGAAGTACCAGATTTGAGCTCAAATTTAAAAGATTATTTAGAGGGATGAAATAATAATGTATTTGTTCATTAATTAATCCAATTAAATATTGGAAAAAGAAAAAGTACATTTATTGCCATGTGATAGTTAATAATTAATAAAGGTACCTATTTTGCCCACCTCTAAAATCTTTAGTTTGAAAACCTTTACCTATAAAAGCAAAACTGCCAATACTTCTCCCATTTTTAAATCACAAGACATCCCCCAACAGTGTTTTGTTGGAGATACCAGTCACATTTCCTCATCAGTAAAGTTAAGCAAAAAGTAGTTTCTTCATTTTCTTGAGTAAGATAATTTCTTGGCAGGAGAAATGCTCAGTTAACTTCTACATAAAAAAAAAAAAGTTTTACTTAAAAAGTGACAATCAACTGCTGAGATTTTCATTATAAGATTATAAAAGAACAACAAGCAATGTTTTGTATAAAGTTCAAACTGGTTACAATCTTAGGCAGAAATAGAGGAAGTAAAAAAAAACTACATCCTCCTCTTTTAATAATAAAAATAAGAATGGGGTATTTTTTAACTGAGCATATGGTCAAACCAAAAATAATAATTGAATGTTCTGACTGATTCCTTGTAAAAGAGTTAAACTTACCAACATCTGCTCTGCAGAAAGCCTGCTGAATGCTGAGATGGAGACACCTGCAGGCTCCTGCAACATCTTGCACTCGCCAAAGAAACAGGATGGTCAGTGAGATGAAACAGATTTTCATCATCATCGTCATCATTGGATGCTGACGTAAGAGCCAGCTGTCAAAGTGTGATGCAATCAAACAGAAAGCAGCTTGTACTTCCTTGGATTTGTTCCTCTCGCAAATGAACAACAGCTTTTATTCCCATCAGAGCACAACAAGCCACGCCCCCTGATAGTCAGACTCTGACCCTCTTGAGGAGAGAAGCAGAGGCACTGTGAGGTCAGGACCTCTCAAACTTTCTTAAGCAACAGTAAACACTGACTGCTGACCAGCCTGCAGCCTCTGGTTATCTTCCAACCATAAAACCAGTCATCCCTCCCTTCATGTGTCAGAGTGACGTTTACTAGGACTGTTTTCTCTGTTTACAACTGAACTGCCTCAATTTAACCTCACCTTTAACCAGAGGTCCTTAATGGTGGGGGTCAGGGCTCAGGGTAGCTCCTGAAATTTAATTGAAAATTTCCTGCTGGTTGCATATGTTGGCTAATAGCATCAACAATGAAACTACAACACGTATACACACACTTTTTAAATTAAACTAAATATTATTCAAAGTCAAGTCAGTTTATCACGTGTCAATCCCAAACCCTGGTAAATGATGAGGGTAGTGTCAGCAAGGGCATTCAATGCAAATCTAAATAAAACTAAAATTCGTCCACAACAGATCATCCATGATGCATCCTTACATTTTATGCTGATGATACAGTTGCTTATTGTTGAGCTATAACAGTTGATAAGGTTTTCCAGCTTTTTTGCCATCTGCTTTTGACATCACCCAATCTGATTTATTCTGTCTCAAACTTGTCCTAAATGCTGACAAAACCAAAGGGATGTTGTTTTCAAACAGGAAATCTGTCCCAGCAGTCCTTCCTTCGATTTTATCCTTGAATGGTGCTCCTATTGAGTTTGTTGATTCCTACAAATATTTGGCTATCTTGGTCGATTTGCATCTCTCTTTAAATCTCCATGTGGAAAACTTGGTAAGGAAACTGAAAGTTAAACTGGATTTATTTTTCAGAAACAGACCCCGTCTAACTCTGAACGCTAGGAAACGCCTTGTAACTACGACTTTCCTTCCCTCCATTGACTACGGTGACATTATTTACATGAACACCCCTACAAACAGTTGTTGGATGTTGTCTATCATGGTGCACTAAGATTCATAACTACTGTACCCACCACTGCACCCTGTATTCACTGGTTAACTGGACATCATTAACTTCTTGCAGACTCTCTCACTGGTACATTTTCATCTTTAAATCATTTCTTGGTCTGCTGCCTTCATACATCTCCACTTACATGTCTCTGCGTGAGTGCAGCTACAGCGTGCGCTCTCAGAACATTATTACATGCAGTGTTCCCTCAGTGAGGACTGAACTAGGCAAAAAGGCCTTCTCCTACTTCGTTCCTGTTTCTTGGAATATCTTGCAAAAAGACCTGAAGCTCTCAACATTGACCTCTCCTGTTTTCAAAAAAATATGTGTCTGCGCCTCTTTGAGTTCTAGTGTTGCATTTAATTTTCATAGTCGTTTTGTTTTCTCAGTTTTTTTGTTTTAATTATTAAATAAAGCAGTTTGAGCTTTTTGAGACCATCATGTCCTGCCTGGATTCTAAGTTCAAACTCTACCAATCATGACAATATTTCCATCGTAAGAGTTGGAGGGTCAACACTCCAGTCTTTTCAATGCAAATAAAGTAAAAATAATCACATGTTTATAATTAGATGATTTCAAAGAACTTATGGGTCTTCAATGTTCATGATAGATCATCTTTATTCATCTTAAGGCTGAGAAATTCTGTTGTTACAGAAGCTCGTGGACAGAGCACGAAAAATTGAATCCAAAAATAAAGAAAGGATATTGAAAAGAATAGGAAGCTAAAATTGAAGCTCAAATAAATTACGCATTTGAAGTAAGGGAAGAATTAAACAGTTACATATTGGCACTGGAAGGATTTCCTAAACCAGTCAGGACAGCAGTTAAACTTATCAGGCCCTCTTAGATGTTGCAGAGCCTCTGTACCAAGATTATAATTCATCTGGCCTCTTGATGAAAATATAGTTTATGACTTGGACATTGTCCCCAGTCACCCAGTCTGTCCAAACGCACTTTACTGGGCTGCTGATCAAGAAGGAGGTGATCTAAGGGGTTAAAAGATAAAGAGCAGAACATCATTGTCTTTCCAAAATTGTAATTTTGCAGATTTCCCAGGTTGCAGCTCAGTTCTTTGTTTAAAGGGTGATCATTAAGTTTTAAAAAAAGAGAAAAGAATAAGACACTGGATCTCTGACAGCAAAGATCTTGGTTTATTGAAGAAAATAAATTGTGGTCACTCAAGCAGCTTCTCGTCTCTTAAAGCTGAAATCCAAACTCTCGCAATAGTACACCTCTTCATCCCACATCTCTTGTTTCCCCTGCGGATTCAGACAATAATTCAATTCAATTCAATTCAAAAATACTTAATAAGGAAATGTTCTTCTATGCTTGGAATAACAAGCCTCACACTTCTCATAAAGTAAACACCTGCCCTAATTTCCACGTATGCTACCCAATTATGGGTCTTATTGCTAATGTCAATTGATGCTTCCCTTCCAGATTTGGTGGCAATAAAAAACTTGCATACAACTCATATCCTTTTGATAAACAGAATGATATTCTCCTGCTCTTTACTGCCTAAACAAACAAAATTCTACTTCAACAGTTTAGAAGTGAATCTTTCCCATACCTAGCAGACACAGGAACTCTCAGAGCATTGAATCAGAGCCCTCCTTTGAGCATCAGTCAAGGCAAACCGCAGCACATGGAAGTCACACATTGAGACATGCACTGCCCCATCATCTCCCAGCCGGCCTACAGTTAAAGTGCAGAAGCAGAAATGAGTTGATGGAATAAATTATGTGAAAAATTAGTGACGTTTGTGCATTTTACTCCTGTTTCATACCTGTAAGGACATATTGTTGTCTTCTAGGATCCAGAGTGGCTCCACATGCTCCAGGGGAGGAAGAAGTGTAGACAGCATCAAAAAAGATTGCAGGGCCTTTGAACACCTGAGTCAAACAAGAAAACAAAATTCTATATACAAGTTGATACAATAAAAAAAAACTAAAAAGTTGTTCATCCATACCTTAGTCACTTGGACATCATATTTGACCATCGTCATTAGATTTCCTAAGGGGTCATCAACAACATGCCTTCCCGTGACCGTTGCCCTGAAAACTGCACAAAAAGTTACAAAAAAAAATTTTTTAAAGAAAGAAAAAAAAGAAGATACATGAACACAAACAGTACAGTGTTAGCATGCTGGAGATGAGAGCAAAAACATGTTTCCAAAGTTATATTTCAATAACTTGCATGTGCCAGGAAGATGGAATCAGCAAGAGTTTCATCAGATGCAATTAAAGAATGTGGGCTGCATATTTCTAGAGTCAACATAGGAGGAATGAAGTCAGGACTCTTTGACCAGCTGATGTAAACCCCCCCCCCCCCTTTGCCTGTAGGATCCTTATTCAGTTTACGTCTGGATATAGATGGTGACATGCAAATCAAGCAGTTTGAAAAAAAGTCACTATAAAATTTCAGGCAGTTCAGACTTTAAAATAAGCTGAAACTTGTTGACTGCTGAGAATCTCATTAGACTGACAATTATACAAGAAAGCAACAAGCAAGGTTCTGTAAAAGTTAAATCACGTTCAATATACTTAGCCTAAATGCTTAAGCCTCTAGGACTTAAAGGTGACTCAAATTAGTGTTGGGATATTATGCTGAGAAATAGTGTCTTTTTGTTAAACTCAATTATGATATTAAAAACATAGATATCAAGTCTACAATCTTCACATCTTTAGAAAAAAAACAAAGAGACCAATCATGTTTCACATAAACATGTTGAAAACGACCCTTTACACATTTATCCATGTGCAAGACATGCATTTCACATGGAATTTACCAGGTTTTCACCAGTCAAGATGTATGAAAGTGTTCTTCCTTTACAGAAATATTGGCAACATTTAAACATGAGGTGAAAACTTGATGTAAAGACTGAACATTTTTAGGGATGTTATGTCAATAAGATTAATCACTTTTAGCCAGCAGAATTCAGATATGATGAGTTTTTAGATGTTTGCAGAAAAATCCTGTTACAAGAATGAAATTAGGGGATATAAAAGAAAATAGGTGCTCCTCTTTTGAATAACATAAATAAGAGTGGGGCATTTATAACTGATCAAATTGTCAAAAAGCTTCTTATTGATCCCTTGTAAGAGCTAAACTTACCCATCTCTGCACTGCAGAAAACCTGCTCAGGTGGAATGTTCATACAGGAGCAGGCTTCTGCCCCATCTTGCACTTGCCAAAGAAAGAGGATGGTCAGAGAGAAGAAACAAGTTTTCATCATCAGAGTCATCTTTGGATGCTGAAGTAGGAGCCAGCTGTCAAAGCGTGATGCACAACTTGCACTTCCTTGGATCTGCTCTCCTCTCAAATGAAAGGTGGCTTTTATCCTCATCAAACAGCATCAGGCCACGCCCCCTCTTAGTCATCAGGCTGGGAGGTCAGGGCCTACCAAATTTTCATAGGCAACAGCAAATTCGGTCACTCTGTCTGACATATGAAGGAACGAACAATTAGTTTTAGTTTGGAACATCATCAGATGCAGCAGGCAGGTCAGCAGTCTGAGTCACAGGGACTGTTTTCTCTGTTATCAACCAACCTGCTTCACTTTCACCTCATATTTAATCAGACTCAATAATACAGACAGCATAATGTTAACATGCTAGAGTGGAGAGCAGAAAAGTGTTTCTGTAGCTTAGATTTTGAAGGTTAACATGTGCTACGAAGATAAAAAAAAGCAAGAGTTTCATCAAATACATATAAAGTATGTGCTGCTCATTTCTAGAGCAGACATACAAGTAAGGCAGTCAGGGTCATTGACCAGCTGATCTAAAATCTCCCCTTTGCCTGTAGGCTCCTCATTCAGTCTGCCTCTAGATATGGATGGCGACATGCAAACAACCACTTTTACATTTTGAGAATAGC